ATCATATTATGTGCTTTCAAAGTGTTTTAGATTGAAGTTTTTATTAGGTTTTTTTTTTTAATGGGATATTTTATGAAAACTGAAGATCCTAAACTTACAAGCTGGCCGATGCTCTATACCATCTTTCATTTCATGTTCTCTAATCTTGATAATACTGTTATGGAAAATGCAGCCCATTTTTTCTTTAACTGTCACTTTTCTCTTCTCTAGGTATTCAACATCGGCTTTAATGGAAAGAATTCCTAGCAGATGGCCACGTCCTGTTTGGCATGCTCCTTGGAAGATCTACAGGGTACGAACAATGTGTTCTTAATCTTACACAGTTAGGTGCAGCAAGAAAAGTGCTAAGGCTTTTATTGTCTGAGTAACTTGGAGATTCTTATTAAATGAATGTTATTAGGAATGCAGTACTTCATGTTATATGAGTGCTACTTTATATTTTTGTTGCCCTTGGTTCTGCATTTTCGTGTCTAACGAGTTGATAAGATTGGCCTGCATCTCTTTGAGTTGTTTTCACGTACTATTATGCTAATGTTGCATATGAGAAGAAAGAAAAAGATTATGCATACTGTTGCTTATAAGCCATTGTTCCATTTGATTATGTAGGTCATTAGTGGCCACTTGGGATGGGTACGATCTATTGCCTTTGATCCAAGTAATAAATGGTTTTGCACTGGCTCAGCAGATCGTACAATCAAGGTATTGAACTTTATGCATCATTTGTCCAAGTTGGCCTATCTGAGTTGGTTCATGTGTTATTGTTATGCTGTCAGAGAAACTCAAGTTTTTCTATTCCCCCTTTCCTACAATGTTTTCTCCTTTCTAGAAGTTAAAATCAATTGCCATTTGGTTTTTTTTTTGTCTTCTTTTTCTGATACTTAAACGAAAATTTCTGAAGGGGCATTTTTTGGGTTTTTATTGTAAATTTATGTTGGGTTGTGTTTGTTCTGATTTTGGTTGGTCAGATATGGGATGTAGGAACTGGAACATTACAGCTTTCACTGACTGGACATATTGAACAAATACGAGGTTCGTTTCTCTTGAATTATTGCTGGTGGGATTGCTTGCTTTTGGTTGTCCATGCTGTGGTTAATGACCGTGTTGGTAACAATAATTGGTTTTTTGCAGGACTTGCTGTTAGCAGCAGGCATACCTATATGTTTTCTGCTGGTGATGACAAACTAGTTAAATGCTGGGACCTTGAACAGAACAAGGTTGGAACTTCTATTAAATCAACTGTTTTTTTTCTCAGAGCTTCATTCTAGCTGTTCTCTAAGGAATACTGATTGTTACAACATAATTTTTTGTGTAGGTTATCCGTTCATATCATGGTCATCTAAGTGGTGTTTACTGCTTGGCTCTTCATCCCACTCTTGATGTTTTACTTACTGGGGGACGTGATTCTGTATGCAGGGTATGTACTTTGTCTTATTAGTAAAGTTCATTTCCTGCATATTTTAAGGATGAAGTACTTAGGGATTGAGCAAAGTCATTATTGTAATTTGTATCAGAGTGGCATTGTGGTAATGATACCTATGTTATGGTGCAATAAAATTTCAGGTTTGGGATATTCGCAGCAAGATGCAAGTTCATGCATTGTCAGGACATGATAACACAGTTTGCTCAGTTTTTACTCGACCAACAGTATGAAAAACCCTTATTCATTCAATTTTCCTTGTGGTTTTCTGATTGTATTGCAGAGTATCCATGCATACATAAATTCATACAGTTCAGAATAATTACTTTATTCTTGCTGGTGTCATCATTGTAATAGTAACTTATATTTTTGCTGCTGTTATCTATAGATGATTGGGATTCAGAGTTTTTTCTTATTTAATGTTGGGCTGAATTTTTGCTCTCCTCATCTGGCATCAAATGCAAGTGTTAACAATTTCTTGCCATGCCCTGAGAATTGTATTATGTTGTGTTAGGTAGCCTTCACTGTTACATCATTCTTTATAAAAGTTTTGAATCCTGTAATCCTTGGCTCTCATTTCTTCCCTAAAGCACAGCTAATAAACAAGTTGCAGAGAATTGAATTTACTGGTACTTTGAATTTATACTTTTATGCTAAAACTACAAGTACAGCTATGAATTTTTATTTATCTTTTTGTTGTTTTTTTTTCAAAAGTTAGATATCTATTTTTGGATGCTATCTTTATGTTTTTTTATTTTATTTTCATCCAGTGCTCTTTATATGGTTAAAATAGGCAATAGTTCTTATATTTTGTTGCCTCATATTTCCAGGATCCACAGGTTATTACTGGCTCTCATGACTCAACCATCAAGTTCTGGGACCTACGATATGGTAATTTATGTTCTTTAACTAATTGCAACTCAGTTTCGGTAATCCCTCTTTAAAAGTATTTTTTAAGTATCAATTTATATTCCTTGCAGGGAAAACAATGTCAACCCTCACACACCATAAGAAATCTGTGCGTGCAATGGCACAGCATCCTAAAGAGTATGTACCAGTACATGTACTTGTGACTTCATGTGCAGTGAATTATCTTGCTAGTGTAGATTATTACACACCCTTAAATTGTATGATTTGATGTCGTTTCTAATTGTGTTTGGTTGTCCAGAAATTGTTTTGCATCTGCGTCAGCTGACAACATTAAGAAGTTCAACCTTCCAAAAGGCGAATTTTTACACAACATGCTGTGAGTATTTTAATAAAATTAATTTTTTCAATTTTCTGATAAATCAACAGTATTTAGGTTGGGTATTGTTTTTTCATATAAATTATATTAGTTCTCTAGTGAGTTTCATTAATAACAATGTTCCTAAATTATTTGTTGTCTTTGAGCAGCTCTCAGCAGAAAACCATAATTAACGCAATGGCTGTCAATGAGGATGGAGTTATGGCCACTGGAGGTATGGATTTTTAACATATCAGCTAGGACACTTTTTGATTCCTTTTTTTTGTTTCATAAAACTTGGTAACTCAAACCTTTCCCCCATTTGTTTTATTGAAGGTGACAATGGGAGTGTCTGGTTTTGGGATG